ACTTCTCTCTTCGGGTCAGTGAGGCTTTCACCAGTGTTTGCTGGTCTAGTACATAAACAACTGCTGAAGACTCCTCTCTGCTGTGTCTCTTAAAACTGATATCACAAGATGGTAACACGGATACAAAGTCCGTTTTCCAAGAGATGCTGTATGCAATTGTAGTTCAATAATACTGAGCTGGCTAAGATAGTAATGCTTAAAATAGATTTGAAATATTGAATATCATTGGAGAAAAAGATACTTGTCTGTTACTCAAATAAGGAAAGAGGAAGGGAAGAGGCAAATACTTTATATGGCCACTGAAGCACAAACATCCTGGAATCCTGAATAGTCACTGTTAAGGAATGGTATTAACAATCTGTAAATTACAGCCTTCTTAAAGGGCCAGTTTCTGATTTCTCATTATGTAGATCAGGGGTAGGCAACTCCAGGCCTCAAGTGCCGGTGTCCTGCAGGTTTTAGATCGCACCCTGGGTTAACACACCTGAATCAAATGATTAGTTCATTACCAGGCCTCTGGAGAACTTCAAGAAATGCCGAGGAGTCATTTAGCCCTTTAAATCAGCTGTGATGGATCATGGACACATCTAAAACCTCCAGGACACCGGCACTCGAGGCCTGGAGTTGCCCACCCCTGATGTAGATTGTAGTAAAGATTTGATTTGAACATCAGTCTTTCATTTTATTTATCATGAAAGTATCATTAATGGGATCTATGCTCTTATCTGCTCTTATATTCTCTATCCTACATATACTGTTAAAATGGTGCATGGTCATATTAAATATGGCCAAAACTTCAAATATTATTTATGTATAAGAATTAGCTATCGCCCAAAAGCTCCAGGCTGCTCTAAATGCTCAGAAGTTCAGAAAGGTTTTCTTCTACTTGGCTCATTATGATGTTAGTGGTGCCAGATATTTCTATGCAGTCATCTCAGACACGCAGCTGAGGCTGTGAGTGCAATAGCCCCACTCATCCGCTGTCTAAACCTTCTGTTTGGGAGGGGCAGCCAATCAGAATAATTGATTGATCGGTTGGAGAGGTGAGGGGCTGTACCGAGGTACAGTATGGTTAGCATACCCAGTCCAAGCATTTGGTCATGTGACAGTTCCATTTTATTGGGCCAAATTCATTGGCTTATCATCTCCTGTATAAAAGAGTTTTTTTGTTTAACTGTGTCTCTCTTAGTCTGCATAGTCCAGAGATATTTGAATGAAACTTCTCTACCAAATACTTTTTCTACGTTAACAAAAGTTAAATTAATAAATTTCAGCCTGTTTGTAATGAATGACCGACTTTATGATCCGTTCATTTCTTTAATCAAAAGTCTTATTCAGTGTTGCACGAAGGCTGGAGCACATCCAGCTGTAACCAGGTGAGAGGCAGGGGTGCACCCTGAGTACGTCACCAGTCTACCACAAGGCAATAGCTCACTATTCATTTGGAATCACGATTTAACTTAACGAGTATATATTGTGATTGTCGGAAATGGAGTACCTTGAGGAAATGCTTGTAAGCGCACGTGGAACATGCAGAGTCAACAGAGAAAGGCCTCGGGCATGTTTGAAACAAGAATTTTCTGCTGTTGGGAGGTAACGGTGCTAATCACTTCACCACAGGGCGGCTCTGTACTTGAAAATCACATGTTGACATGCTGACACTGATAGTTTTATCCTGGAAGCAAGCTGATTTATAACCATTAACTGAAATTAGACAAGTAAAGTTTAATATCTTTAGGGGCTTATTTTAAATTATTATTTTTAAGGACTTTAACTTGCTCTCTGTCTCATTGACTATAACCAAGAGATGACATTTTGCATTAAATGTAATAATAGTTGGTCACATAACTGTGGGTCAAAGAATTAGTCATGTATTCAGAATAACATTATATTTTCCTCTATAACTGGAATTTTCCGTCTCGTAAAAAAGTTGAAATTGCTCTTTCCTATTTATTCCAATTTATCGAGGAGCAAAAAGCCCTGGATTATCCAAAATAACGCTCTTTTATTTTGTTGTTGTTGTTTCCATTATAGAGGACAGCATAACCATAGTGATTTTTTATTAAAGCATCTACAGATATAAAAAGTAGCACTTCAATCGGCGGAGCAGTGAGAGGAGAGGAACCCTTACCTGCCCCACCGATTGAAATCTAAGCAGATTAAGCTGAGGGCGATGTTTTCTCTGAAGCGAGCTCCTGTTGCTAAAATCCAATTAAATCATTCATATTACATGTGCCTGTTTTCGAGAGGAAGGTTTTGAGCATACACACTTGCTTCAAGCATGGAATACAGCTGTATCATCTTCGGACAGCTAGTGACTTGCCTTCATTCTTTTATGTGGACATGACGCATTTTCTTCAAAGTGAATTTGAAGTGACTGGGCATGATGGTGTCATCTGAATCTGTGAGACAGTAATCCAGATGGCAGACAGGACCTGACCCTGCAGGAGGAGATTAAGGCACTTAACAGTAATGCAGGGTGAGAGTGGCAAGTGACGTTTTGCAGTGAAACGGCTGACTTTGCAAACATTCGCGCCGTGATTTTCTGCAGTAAAAAGACATGAAAGGGACTATTGACCTCATCTGTATGAAGCGCTGACTGTGCACTTTTCATGACAAAGCCTTGTGATTGCTGTTTGATCACATGCTTCCTCGAACATTAGAGTAAACTGCAGATTGAAGTCTTTAGTCTGTATTTAATTAAATATATTACTATTTATGTTGTACATTAGGTGCTCTCTAAATTCACACAGGGAAAGGAGGTTTTTAATGAAAGATCTGTCTGCGGTGAGGCGAGTGGGAGTAACTGAGCAGACAGACAGGCAGGGAGAAGGGAAGGTGGGAGAGACTGTTGCAATCCTAAAGACAGCGGCCAGTCTGTCGAGAAGGGAGGAGCCTAGAGGTCTTGGCTCATCATACTTCCTCCTGATGTCACCGTTCAGCTGCTGCAATTCAGAGTCTATGTAAAGGGAGGACAGCCCAGGGAGGGGAGGGCTTTTTAGGGGAGACAAGGGAAGGGGAGGCATAGAGTTTTTTGGGAAGGGCTTGTTGTGAATGGGCTTGGCAGACCTCCTTAGTCAGTAGGCCTTCTAATCACTTGGGAAGAAACAACAATAGAGTCTGCGCGCTTGAGAAAATTCCCATCTGTCTGTGGCTGGGCTCAGGCATACTGATGTCATGAGTGCATTTATGTGGCCGAGAGAGAAAGAGAAAAATGACAGGATAATAAAAAAACAGGGAGAATGAGGGAGGGGAAGAGATGTGGGGCGCCGAGCTGTGAGCAGAGCTGAAATGCCATTGTTATTGCTCGCTGCTCTGTGTTGCAAAAAGGGACAGCTGCCGCCGAGGCCTGCTTGCTCATGTGAGGCAGAGAGCCCAGCTCACCGTGAATTTTTCCCCATCTCCCCTCAGACAGAGAGACAGGTGGTTCCTGAACTCTGCCTGCTAAGAGTCAAGGGAAGGAACTAGAAGGAATTTGGGGAGTGGCATTTCAAAGCTTCCTCTTCCCTCTCGTTTCTCTCAAAGAAAAGGGGCCTAGTTATATTTTTAAGGCATCAGCTGAAAGACAAAGTGTTGTTTGGTGAGACATGTTACAGTGACGCAACGAGGAAACTGATAGTAAGCTCAAATAGAGTGAATCCTTCTTTTGTCTGTGTGTGCATTGTTTTAAACTGCAATGAGCAGGATGTTTTTACGCTCATAAACATGATCAAGAATGTTAAAAAATGTTATACATTGTCAGTTACTCAGAATATGACATCTTGCATCAATGATACATATTACATATTACATATTTTGAACTGTAATCAGGTTTAAAATGACGGCTCAAGGTCAACTGTCAGGTTTCCCCGGCTCAAAGGTTCACTTTGATTAATAGCACCATAGCAATTAACCTTCTCATATTCGTATCAGAAAGCTGTTTTAAGCTTTCTTGGGCATTAATGAAGCTACTGGGTATACTAACTGTTCATGATCCTACATAACAAGAACATATTTTGCTAGTGTTACAAAGAAAATTGAAAGAAAAAGCAAAAGAAAATAAATGAATTGCCTTTGAGTTCTTTTCCCATGTAATTTGACATCTCAGTAGTCGTCACGCAACTGACTTTGTCAGGGGATAAATTCAGTTAATCTGTAATGAATTTTTTGAGCTTTAATTCAAGACGTACAATGCAGTGTCAAGGTTATTAGCGGATGGTGCAGTGTCAGTTACCTGACTGAAGGTGTTTTGCAGGACAGGAACTATAGAGGAAAAAACTGTAGGGCTCTTTACAGTGTTAGCCAAACCAAATGACAAAACACACCAAACCTCCCGCTGGAATTTTATTATCATATGAGTCACTCACTTTTGTAAGCGGTGTTTATTGACCAGCTTGTCTGTGTTTTTGGACTCCATGTAATCCTTTAGATGCTTATGTACACTATGACAGATGTACGGCACAACATTGGCATGCTAAGTTAATCCCTGCTTGACCCAGTGGTATAATTTCATGTAACAGCAACTCTGCCATCTGAACTGCAAGCCAGCAGGCATCTATTCATGTAGGAGTCATATTAAATAACAAAAGTGACACAGTACACCGAAAAATATCACCAAGAGTAAAACATAAGCCATTTCTATTTGTATCATGTTTTGATTGGCTTATACTGTGTATAACTTCTAACACTATAGCTGACAGCATAATTGTCTCCACTAAGAGTTCCTACCCTGCGGTTTTAATCACATGTATATGTTTCTTCCCACTGTGTGAACTCAATTGGGGTTTTCACTTATAAAGTTAAACAGCCTCTGGTGAAGGAACTCATACTACTGACATAGTTTGATAAGCGAGACCATAAATTGCTCGCGGATACAGGATTTAGATGAGGTTTTATTGTGTTAGCGGGACTGTGAGTCATTTCTTCCTTTGCTCAAGCAACTACACCCTGTTCACCCTGCTTGACTGTTTCCTCAAGGCTTTCTTGACCTTTCTTCTCTTTCTTTCACCTTGTTTGCACAGGTTAAGTGTTCCCAGTGTCCCCTTTGAATGTCTGTCATTATGGCGAAGCGTGAGACTGGCAGCACCAGCCCTGTGGTGAGGCAGATAGACAAGCAGTTCCTGGTCTGCAGCATCTGTTTGGACCATTATCACAACCCAAAGGTGCTACCCTGCCTGCACACCTTCTGTGAGAAGTAAGCTATGAATCACTTAGCTTTACAAGGTGATCGACACCAGGAGATCAAAGTGACAGTAAAGAGATAAGCAGACATAAAACATTTAGAAGCAAAATAAAAAGATGCGTCAGCGTTTGGCTATTATAGGATGCAGCGTGCTAGATTTTAGTGTACTTTAATGTCTTTTTTAGCAATTTCTAAATTTGGTATCACAGCTCCTCGCTTAAGCGAGCTATTCTGTCATCATCATGGTTTCTGCATGACGTAAGTCACCAGCTACTCTAAGCTTGGTGACAAGAAAAGCACACGGCCTTTTTTTAGGGCACAGCTTTGGTAATAGCAAATACTGGTTTCCACAGCTGTGTTGCTACAGTAGTACTGTTTTTACATCGTTGTGCTTGGTAACCACCCAAATCACATTGTCCAGTCTTCTAATCAGGTCTCACCCTGAAATTGGTGCTTGACTGCAGCTTTATTCCTCTAACTGATTTCTTTAACATCTTATCTGATCGTAGATGTCTACAGAACTACATCCCTCCCCAGTCTTTGACACTATCCTGCCCAGTGTGCAGACAGACTTCTATCTTGCCAGAGAAGGGTGTGGCAGCCCTGCAGAACAACTTCTTCATCACGAACCTAATGGAGGTGTTACAACGAGACCCAGAGTGCAGCCAGCCTGAGGCGGGCAATGTTCTTGAGTCAGCCAACGCAACTACAACCTGTCAGCCCCTTTCTTGCCCTAATCACGAGGGCAAGGTAAGCTTTAAAAAAATAAATAAATAAAAATGCTGATCAAAAATAGGTCAGAGCTATCAGACCTCATCTGCATGTTCATGACCAGGCTGCCGACTGTTATTGGATTAAAAAGAAATGCCTTCTGTATATATGCATTTGAGCTTCTGAGCAACCTTGACCTCAGAAATGTGACTTTACATGCCTCAACTACTCCATCTGCAGGTGATGGAGTTTTACTGCGAGTCATGTGAAACAGCCATGTGTCTGGAGTGTACAGAAGGAGAACACAGGGAACATGTGACGGTGCCGCTAAGGGATGTGCTCGAACAGCATAAGTCAGCCCTTAAAGGTCAGCTGGACACTGTTCGCAACAGGTACGATTTTTCACTGCTTTAACACATGATCTATTATGTGATTGCTTTTGGAAGACATTAGTAAAATTGGACGTGTAAAAGTATAAAGAGCTGTAATCTGCGTTTATTTTTCGCTCTGGCAGACTACCTCAGCTGACAGCTGCCATTGACCTTGTGAATGAGATCTCCAAGCAACTTACAGAAAGGAAAAATGACTCTGTGACAGAAATCAGTAATACTTTTGATGAGCTGGAGAAGGCCCTACACCAACGCAAGACTGCTCTCATTACTGAGGTGGAAAACATCTGCAGCACCAAGCAGAAGGTCAGCGATCTTATTCATTTTAAATTTGATGCATTTAAAAAAAAAAAATCATGATATTTCACATTTTTGTACTAGCTCCGCTGACTTTCTCCATCTTCTTAGGTGCTTCAAACTCAGCTTACCTCTTTGCTTCAGGGCAGAGAGAACATTCAGAGTAGCTGTAACTTCACAGAGCACGCACTGAGCCATGGGAGCGCCACTGAAGTCCTTCTGGTCCAAAAACAAATGGGTGAGAGGGTGAGTGCTCTGGCAAGACACAGCTTTCCCGAGCATCCTCATGAAAACGGACATCTGGAATGCCAGGTGGAGACGGATGGATTGAGGCGCTCCATTCAGAATCTAGGAGTCCTGATCACAACGGGGGCTGTAGGCCATACCAGCGTTGCCACCGGTGAAGGTCTGCGACACGCACTAGTTGGCCAACACACCACTATCACAGTCACCACTAAAGACAAAGATGGAGAATTGGTGAAGACTGGTAACGCGGTTCTTAGGGCAGAGATTATCTCCGCGGATGGGGTGTGTACTGAAGCTGAGGTGGTGGACAACAAAAACGGCACCTACGAGGTCGGATACACTCTCCGCTCTGAGGGAGAATTCACCTTCTCTTTGCTGCTGTATGAACAGCCTGTGAGGGGGAGTCCTTTCCGTTTGCGTGCTGTCAAACCGTCAGATGTCCTGCAGTCGCCAGACGATGTGAAGAGACGAGTGAAGTCCCCAAGCGGAGGAGGAGGTCACGTTCGCCAGAAGGCCGTGCGCCGGCCTTCCAGCATGTATAGCACCACCAAGAAAAAGGAAAATCCAATAGAGGACGAGCTGATCTATAGAGTTGGTGAGTGAAAAAGCGTTATTTTGGATATTAATCGTACTGTTGACTGTTCTTA